CAGCAGCAGCAGCATCACCTGGGAACATGTTGGAAGGACAATTTCTAGGCCCCACCCACTCCTCCTGAATTCCAAATACTGGAGGTGGGGCCCACCATTCTGTTTGCACAAGCCCTCCAGGTGAGGTGAGATCTGCTGAGGATTGAGCACCACGGAGTAGGGTACTATTCCTGGCCTCTCTCCACCCCTTCTCTCACTGTGACTTTGACTAGTGAGTTGAAGACAGCACTGAGCATGTCCAGCTAAGCCCCTTTCCAGTGGTGTTTTTTTGTTTTATTTTGTTTTTATTTTGTTTTTTATCCAAGGCCATCTGGCCCAAAGGACATATGCATTCCCACTTGCTCACACGTAAGAAAATTGAATAGAAGCAGACTCGAAAATCCTGCTGCAGCCATTGCCGCAACCACAATGCCTAAATGAAAGAAGCAGCAGCATCAGCAGCAGCCACCAGTGCAACATCCCTGGCTGCCAGAGCGGGAAGAGACTGGAGACTTGAAGGATGGAGTCCCATCAGACCACCCAGCCTTCTGGGCCCTCTCCCCATGGCCAATGGAAAGCCATGTGACCCCTGGTCAGCCACAAACTGGAATCCATCCACATGTCCACCATCAGTAGAATGGGTAAATAAGTTGTTGTGTGTGCATGCAATGGGATACTACACTGCAATGAAAATGAAAAAACTCCTGCTACAGGCAATGTAGACGAATCTCACAAATACGATGGTGAGCAAAGAGAGCCAGACAGAAAAGAATGAGGACTCTCTTCTAAGAGTTCCTCCAGAATCAAGGGGTCCAATGATTCCACCACTGCTGAGTCTCCCACCTCCTTCCTGGGGCAGAGGCTCAGCTGAGGGAGGACTAGGCCCCAGATGTGGCCCTTATGGTCATGGCTGGTGGGGGCCAATACTGAAACTCCTTTTCCTGAACCAGGCCATGGGGTCCTTCCAGGGGAGCCTTTCACAAAGAGCAGAGAAAGACCCAAAGGCTTAAAAGTTAGTCTCTTATCAAAAATACCTGCCAGCCCAAGGATGGCCCCCAAGTTATGGAAGACAAATCCAACGGCTCTGTCTGCCAACACTTTGCCAAAAAGGGCCACTGTCTATATGAGGACCTCTGTGCCTTCTACCACCCAGGTGTCAATGGGCCTCCTCTGTGAGACTGTGCCTTCCCTCTGCCCTCTGACCTAGTGGCCATATATTCCCCTGTGGCCCTGTGACAGCCAGCGTGAGGCTGTTCCACCCACCACCCTCAGTCAGTGACACCCTCTCCATCTGCCAACCTCCTCAGAGTTGTGTCTCATCACTAGAGCCCAGCATGTGGGCTTTCTTCTGATCCATCCTTCAGAGACTCGCCTTCAGGACCCCATCTTTGCTCCCTTCAACTGCCTCCTGGATCCTCTTCCCCCTCATCAACTGACTGCTGGACAGGAAACATCTCTAGTGTTGTTTCTTGTGCATCTGTCCACCCAGCTATTGGTACTGCCCTCAATTCCTGAGACCCCTGGAGCAGTTTCCTACTGTTCCCTTCTTCTAGTTGCTTGTTTTGAATCCTTTATATGTGACAGCCCCTACCCCCAGGGTTGCCAGCTATTCTACGAAACTCACCAGGTTGACCCCAGAGTCAAGTACAGATGACTGGCGCAGTTACTCCCTGAAAGGCCATGCTGCATGCTTTTGGATTTTGTAGTTTCTGTGTTGGTGGCATGATCCCCACTGCTTTAGTGGGGATGCACATGATCCCTGTGCTTTGTGAAACCGTGCATCCCCTCATACTTAGCTTTTCTCAGTGTCCGGGGCATCTATGTGACTTTACAAAGCTCATTCATTTAATGAATGAGGCTCTTGGTTCCCTCTAGACTTTCCGTACCACCCATCATGGAAGAGTTGTGAAACCTTCTGCAAGGCTGCCTCCCTGGTCTCCCCATATTCCTGGTGTCAGTTTTTCTGGGTTTGACACAAGCCCATGAGATGTCCTCTAAAGCTTCTGACGGGGTATCCTATGTCCTCTCCAGCCCACTGTAGTTAGAGTACCTCATTATGAGGCCGCCAGCCCTTTCATCTGAATTTTTTGAATCTCCACCTAGCCTACCTTTGAGTAGAACCTGGAAAGTACTGTCACCATCGTCTAACCTACCCTACATCCCCGGCACTGTGGTTCTGTGAAAATGGTGGTGAACAGGTTCAGTTTTGAACTGGCACTGCGGAAATGGGTCAGGAGCTGTGTGGGCAAGAGGGAAGGATGAGAGCTGTTGGAGAACTAAGAATTAATTTTTTTCTTTTTAACATTTTGTTTATAGTAATAATAAATGCAGTGGAGACAAAAATAAATAAATAAAGCCAGACTCTTTCCTGTGTTGGAGGGTGGCGGTGCTCAGCACTACTTGTGATGAGGGTAAATCTATCTAATTTAGTCCTGCAGGACTAGCAAGCCAAATAGACTGCACATCTAAAGCTAACTGTCGAATCATCTGTCTCTATGTATTGATTATTAATTGGTTCCAAACATAGGAGGGCAAAATGAGGTGTTATTTATTGTGCCTCTACAACTCCGACAATGGGTTGTAGGGAAAGTGGGAAGGATGCAGGTTCAGATCCTAAGTAGTAGAGAGACAAAGTTGAGATAATAGCAGGCCAGAAGAACCAGGGGGAAATCCTAGAACTTTTTAGGTAAACAGAGCTTGAGAAATGATCAGTTCTGACCTCACATATTACAGATAAAGAAACAGAGCATGGAAGGGACTGAGGGGCTTGTCCAAGCTCACATGTCTAGTTAGTGGTGGAAACAAGACCAGAACCCAGGACATGTGGTTCTCAGCTGTGCACTTTCTGAGCAGGTGAACCAAAGCAGATAATGGTACAGAAATTTGAAAATCCAATATGCAATATCACCAAATAGAAGAACCAGCCCCACCGTTTTTCAGCATGAGCAGTGGGTTCAAAGCCAAAGTGCTTTGTGCTCAGAGGAAAGTTCTGCCCCAATCCACCTGTGCATGCTCTGTTGCCACCTCACACACCCAAGGCTCTGGCCACACAGCCTCCTCAGTGTGCTCGAAACAGTTTCTTTTTCCTGTGCTTTTTTTTTTTTTTAAAAAGATTTTATTTATTTATTAATCAGAGAGAGAGAGAGAGGCAGAGACCAGGCAGAGGGAGAAGCAGGCTCCATGGAGCCCAACGTGGGACTTGATCCGGGGTCTTCAGGATCACGCCCTGGGCTGAAGGCAGTGCTAAACCGCTGAGCCACCCAAGCTGCCCTTCCTGTGCTTTTAATGGTGCTATTCTCGCTGCCTACAATCTCTCCCTATTGCCCACATTTGGCAAAACCCCATCTCTCCCTGGAGAGAGCCAACTCAAATACCATTCCTCTACAAAGTCTTCTCTGATTTCACTAATAAAACTTCATCATTGTGCTAGTCACCAATAATCGTTCTCCACTCTGAATTCCCAAGATACTTTCTTTATATATTATGTATGACAACACTGTACACTTTGTGTTATAGCTATGCTTTACTTCTTGTATTCGAATATAAACTCCTAAAAAATATAAGCTCCTTACAGGCGGGCCCATATTTCTTCCTTTTTTTTTTTATCCTCTTTTAGTTTGTTTTATTTTTTTATTGAAGTATAATTAATATACATCATCATTATATTACTCCAGGTGTACGAGGTAATGATTCAACAATTCTATACATTTCTCAGTGTGCATCAAGGGAAGTGTACTCATCTAAATCACCCATCCTCCTACCCATCTCCAGTTTGGCAACCACCAATTTGTTTCCTGTATTTAAGAGTCCAGGATTTTTTTATTTGTCTCTCTTTTTTCTTTGTTTGTTAGCTTGTTTTATTTCTTAAATTCCACATAATAGTGGAATCATAGAGAATTTGTCTTTCTCTGACTGACTTATTCCTCATCATTATACATACTAGGTCCATCTATATTGTTACAAATGGCAAGATTGCATTCTTTTTTATGGCTAAGTAATGTTCCATTTTTATATATAGCACATCTTCTTTTTCCATTCATCTATCGATAGACACTTAGGTTGCTTCCATATCTTGGCTATTGTCAATAATATTGAATAAACATAAGGGTATATACATATTTTGAATTATGTAACTAAAAGTTTTTTTTTATAATTATGAGCTTTTGCAGGGAAACATCAACAAAACAAAAAGGCAACCTACTGAATGGTAGAAGATATTTGCAAATGATATATCCAATAAGGGGCTAATACCCAAAATACTTTTACAAACTTATACAACTCAATCCCTCCCCAGAAAAAATACCAAAGATACCAATTAAAAAATGATAAGAGGACCTGAATAGACATTTTTCAAAAAAAAGACATTCAGATGGCCAACAGATACATAAAACAATACTCAGCGTCACTAATCATCAGAGAAATGTAAATTAACACTACAGTGAGATATCACTTTACGCCTGTCAGAATGGCTAAAATCAAAAAGACAAGAAAATCAAGTGTTGGCCAGAATATGGGAGAATAGGAGTCATCATGCACTGTTGATGTGAAAGTCAACTGGCACAGCTAATATGGGAAACAGTAGGAAGGCTTCTCAAAAATAAAAAAAAAAAGAACTATCATATGATCCAGTAATTCTGCTACTGGATATTTTTAAAGTAATCTCTACACCTAATGTGGGGCTCAAACTCAACATCCTGAGATGAGGTCATATGCTTTACCAACTGATCCATCATGCACCACCCTGATACTGAATAATTAACCAAAGAAAAAGAAAACACTTTTTCTAGTTTCTTTTAATAATAATTTTTAAAGACATTATACACTATGAACATGATTGAAAAGTAGACAAGGTAAAAAGAGAGAGAGAGAAAGAGCAAAAACACATCCTTCACACCACAATACATAGAGATCTCTATTAGTATTTCCACACCAATATACCACAGAAGGCCTACCTTTCCATATGGTAAGAGTACGCCCCATTATTGTGCAGGGGGACCACACTGTATTCAGGTGCGATGATGTCAAGCTAAATGTGTACTGGCACTGCCGAGTTCAAAGTCTACTGTTTGGGGCGTAACTGAAGGGGGGTTATGCAACCAGACTGCGCTGATCCCATAAGTAAAATAGATAGCAAACCCAATCATCATCCAAATACCAACTCGGACCCAGGTGCCAGGTGTCATCTGCATCATAAGACAAACATTCACAAAGATGCTCAGGAGTTGGAGGAGAGGCAGAGCAGGTACCTTAAAGTGAAAGGGAGGGGAGCTCTGTGGCTGTCTCAAGATGACCCCAGTGATCCCAGTGATGAGCACCAGGAGAAGCACAACCACTGTGATCCACTCTGGATATCCAGAAAGCCAATGTGGCCACTGGGCCAGCACCAGGCAGAGAAGAATCAGCAGCAGAACAAGCAGTGAGGAGCAAACAGAGACAACCCGGCCAGAGAGTGGAGTAGGGGTGGAGCTCCCTGGAAAAAATATTCGGTGTAGAGTCAGCTTCTCTGCTGCAGGTCCATTCTCATCCTGCACCTGTACTTCATTTCCCTCATCCTCCTCTCAGGCTGATACTTGAGGAAGAGAACACAAAAAGCCACCAGGGAGTAAGATATCAGGGACCCAGTTGATGACAGATCCAAGAGATCAACGAGTCCAAAGAAGAACACCATGATTCCTACAGTAACGCCAAAGATCACAGTGGTCATGATGCGGGTGTATTTGCCAGTATGAATGCTGCTAAAGACAGAGAAGAGAAGGCCATCCTGTGCCATCTTGTGTATCACCAGACTGATGGGTAGCATAAAGCTCGAGACGCGTGCAGAAAGACTACAGAAAAACCCAAAAGTTACGACATAGTAGGCAGGGGCCCAGTCAATATGGAGAAATACTTCAGGCAAAGTGTTCCCAAGTTGAACCTTATAGTAAGGCATTAGAAGTGTAAGTGCCGCAGCAACACCAAAATACATTAAAAAGCAGATGAGCAGTGAAATCAGAATGCTCATAGTGATGGAACGCTCGGGACTCTGGATTTGTCTGACTCTGGTAGCAACAGTTTCAAAACCTGTAAAAGCATAGAAACAGGTAGCTGATCCACGGAGAATCCCCTGGAAGCCAAAAGGCACAAATCCTCCAGAGCCCAGAGGACCCAAGCTAGAGGTGTCATTGAGTCCATCCTTTATGTAGTCCTCTTCTGTGAGCTTCCAGTTGTGCAGGTCCCCCTTTATGAAGCCAGAGAGGATGATAAAACTGAGAATCAAAATTTTCACAAGTATGATTGCTTTGCTAACCAGGAAAAAGTGATTAATCCTCAGAGTCGGCAGTTCCATGAGGAACAACACAAGGCCCACAACAAAGAAGTCTACATATTCTGTAAGGACACTGGAAGCATGTGGTGAGATGCTTTCATGCAGGGCCTGAGAGAATCTGTTCTCACGCAGGTATTCAAAACCTAAGTTCCATGTCCGGACCACCATGGCTGCATCAGCAACAAGGGAGAAGATGAGGTTCCAGCCAACTATGAAAGCCCCAAGTTCACCTGTAGTGACAAAGCTGTAGATATATGCAGAGCCATAATGGGGAACCCGGGCACTAATCTCTGCATAGCACAGGCCGGCCAACACAGAAGTTAGGCCAGCCACCAAAAAGCAGATCATGAAAGATGGTCCTGCTTGATTGCTGACCACCTCGCCAGCCAGCACATACACACCTGCACTCAGTGTGTGGTCTACCCCCAGGACCACTAAATCCAGAGTACTCAGGCTTCTGTCAGGGGCAATCTCACCCTCAGGTTGTTCCAGCAGACATCTGCGTACCAGTTTTTGACCAAATCTGCGAAGTACTTGACACATCATTCCAGCTGGAATTGAAGAGGTGTCTAGGATCAGAGAGCTAGAGGAAGACCAGGGAGCCTAGAATCTGAGATCAGTTTCATTGGGGCAAAGTTAAGCTGAGTCACGTTGAGGCTGCTGTGTTCTATCACTGAGGCTTCAACTCTGCTGCTTTGCATTTCTTCTGGTATGTGCTATCTCTCCATAATGCCTAAGGAGACAACAAATATTTACTGAACAATGATGTTCAACCAATGAACCAAAGCTGAGAAGTCCCAAGTCATCTATTGCAGCCCAAATGTCACAGAAGCTGACACAAAAGACATTATTGAAAAACCAACCTTGCTATCCCCCCAGAAAATGTGCCAAATACCTCCCAACATTCTGATTTATTATGCACCATATGGAACATAATGTCATTTGGGTTCATCTAAGTCATGTAGCTTCATGAACTAATTAAGCTATATGATATAACAGGACACATGAATATATTGTGCAATAATTCTCTTGTGGGATGTGTGTGCAGTGCTTCAGTATGAGTAATAACACATTAATTCACAGACTAGAAGACATTGGAGCAATTACAGACAGATTGTTTAATATCAATCTGAGCTTGGGAGACCTGGGTGGTTCAGTGGTTGAGCATCTCCCTTCAGCTCTGGGTGTGATCCTAGGGTTCCAGGATCAAGTCCTGCATCAGGCTCCCCACAGGGAGCCTGCTTCTCCTTCTGCCTATGTCTCTGCCTCTCTCCGTGTGTCTCTCATGAATAAATATATAAAATATTTTAAAAATATATCATCTGAGTTTAAAATGCAAATGTTGGTCCCCAGGTCTCAAAACCCCTAGCCTCAAAATCAGCTGGCTAAAGTCACATGGCACCTTGGCCCCCTTTCTCCTCATTCTGCCTCACCCATTCAGTTGTACTGATGGCCAAGAGTTTTCAGTCCACCCCTTACCTTTACCCACCTAGGCCCATGGGGGTGCTGTGAACAGAGAGGAGGAGGGAGAGAGGAGCAGGGCTTTCATTATCACCTACAAGAAGGAGAGGATCAGGCTGTTTGGGAAGGAAACCCTGGAGAAATGGGGGCAGTATCTAACCCAGGGTCCAGGTCTAGGAAGGGAACAAAACCAGAATGACTATTCTGTGAAATCTGACATTTAAGACACCTTATCCAAAGCAATCAAGGAAAAATTCATTATAATTGTGTCAACAATTATGAAAATGTGATGGGTAGGGAGAAAAGAAATGAGTCATGTAGCTCAGAAACTCACAACCTAAACAATTCTACAGTCTCCTCATTGGCCATGCTGTGCTGTATACACACTCTGTGCCATCTGTGGTGTCAGCTGCCAGGGGCCTGAGGACCCTGCCCTGCTCTGTGAGCTTCTATTAAAACCCTCACTTATAATTCTGTACTAATTTTTCACAAAGAATTATTTCTAACTTGCTCAAACTATGGTCTCAATATGCCAAATACATTTTTGTAATGAACAAACAGCACACCTCTGGTTCCTCTTTCCCCTCCTCCCCTGCTGCATTTCAAATGGCCCCCTCTCAAGGGGAATAAGGTTTTGGATGAACAACTCACAGCAATGTCCCAGAACTGAGTAGTGGAAAACAAAGAAAACAGAATCATGCAGCCCCCATTCACCTCTCTACTCAGGGTTTGATTTTGAGAGAATTTTTAGAAATGTCATATGTTTTTAAAGACAGAAAAGAAAGTCAAAATTGAAAAGTCTTTTTCTATAGATGATCAAAAAGGACCCCTTGGGTTATGGGTCAGCCTTCTTGTCTACAAATCCATGAAGACTCCTTATTTGCCAGTCACCAGTTCCAAAGTTATGATTTATCAACAAGCCCATGAGATAGATAAGGAGGCTCAGTTCTTAGCTCATGGAACCTTTCTATACTATAAATGGGATTGAGGTGTCCTTCACCCACTCCCAGGCTTCAGATCCTTCTGTGGTTCCCCATTCCCCTTCCTTCCCAATCCTTCCTTCCTTCCTAATCTGACCTATGCTTACTCCTCCAGTCTCTTTGCTGCCCAGTTCCTGCTCTACCTGGAAATTCTACACTCACCCTCTTCTCTGGCCTCATAGTTCCTTCATTTAGCTACCGCTACTTTACTTTCAGTTCCCAGCTCAGAAGGTGCTTCCCCAGGAAGTCTCCCCCTCGACCCTTATGCTGCCCTTCCTATGTGCTCTCATAGCACCTGTGCTTTCCCCATGTGCCATTGATCCTAATATATCCAAAGTCTAGGTCAGCTGCCTGTCTCCTCCATCAGGCTGTTCAATAAGTATCTGTAGAACAAATGTGAAAACTGAGAAGAGAAACCTGAAAAATCACATAATCTAGATTTCCTAACTAATTGACTTTGAGATACTTTGTAGCCAAGCAACCTTTACAAACCTGGCTCAGGTAAAGATATAAATGGTATCACCTTCCTTATGGAAGGCAATTAAAATGAAAAGTGTAAATGGAAAACAAACTGATAAAATCTTGCCCATAATTCATTCCAGGAAAAGCCACACATAAGTGATAAAGAATTGTTTGCCTTGGAGGACACTTGTTTAAAACTATCAGGTGACCTCCGGTTATTGGCAACAAACTGCCCACCCCCAGTTAGAATCCCTACTTTTGGAAGACATGCTCAGGCCTTATGTTCCAGTAGGATGTCCTAAAGCAGAGGTTCTCACTTTGGGGAACAGAGGCACCTGGGGACATTTTCAAACTTCAGATCCTCTCCTTCTGGAGATTCTTGTTCACTACCCCTGGACTTTCAATGACTGCTCTAAGCCACCCAACTGACAAGAAATTTTCCTCAATTTCAAAGATAAGAGTGAAAAATTCTTTCTCATAGAAAGGCAGCACAGTTTAGTACTCAAGAGTTAATCTGCAAGTAGATTGTTCAGGTTCATTCACAACTCATCTCACACCCAGTGACTCTGGACAGATTAGTTCAATTCTCGGGGTTTTAGTTTCCACAACAGTCAAGTGGGAATTTTTATTCCCAAAAGTAGATACTTCAGAGGGTAGTTCTGAGGAGTAAGTTAAATGAGCCCATAAAGTATATAGCTTGGTGCCTATCAAACAATATGGACTTAATATAATTTACTTAGTATGTAGAATTGAAATCTGATCCAAATTCCTAAACTTTGAAGACTAATTAGTCTTTACAAATATCTAGTCTTGCAATATCATCCACTAAACCTTGTGCCTGTTAGGGAGCCCTAGTGAGACAATGGAAACAATTTTATTCCAACAAATTGCCTTGAAAATCTAAAGATTCTAATTAGATACCCTGATAAGCATGGTGCTTAGCATGCAAGGGTCCTAGGCTGACTGAGTTACACTAGGCATCAAAAATGCAAGGCTCAAACACAATAACAACAACAATAATAACAATATCTTTGCTACAGATGCCTCATCTTATTTCTGGAGGAGGCAGTGCTGGGTACGATAGTGCTAAGAGCAATGACCATTATATCAAAAATTTTGTATGTAAGCTCTGAATCTTCAGTGTGATGACATGAACTTGGGGAATTTACTCACTCTCTCTAAGCCTCAATCTTCTTGTCCACAAGGGCCCTCACCTGGATCGGCGAGAGAATTCAGTGAGAATTCTCCCATGCATCGCTGGTGGGAGTGTCACTGGGCCACCAACCTGAAGCACAAGCCCAGTGGAATTAAGAACACACACACTCTCCCACCCCCCAATATCTCTCCAAGGTTCATACCCCTAGGAAACTCTCTCCCAAGTCCACAGGGAGCCCATGTGAGCACGTTCATCACAGGACTGTTTGTGGTAAGAAGAGGGTGTTATGCCAGCATCTGCTACTAAAGGAATATATAAGGGAAATGTGGTATATGTATATAATGAAATTTGACACAGCAGTCAGAAATAATAAAGTAAAAAAATAAGTAAAAAAAAGAAATAATAAAGTAGGTTTACAAGTAGCAATACAGGTAGATCTCAGAAACAATTCTAGGTAACAAAAGCAATATCAGGATAAGGTGTGTAACAAAGTTCTATTTATGTATATTTATTTATTTGTATTGTTTTATTAAGTTTTTAATTTTAAATCCTGTAAAGTTAATATACAGTGTTATATTAATCACAATATAGTGATTCCAACAGTTCTATGTATATATTACTCAGTGCCCATAATCTATTTCACCCAGCCCTGCCCCCAACTCCCTTCTGGAGGAATGAGTTATCACCTCATATCTGTTATGGTGGCTAAAATTAACAACACAAGAAACAACAAATGTTGGTGAGGATGTGGAGAAAAAGGAACCCTGGGACATGGCTGGTAGGAATGCAAGGTGGTTTATTTCTGAATTTTCTATTTTATTCCACTAAACTATATGTCTATTGTTATGATAGTATCATACTATTTTTTTAGGTTTTTAATTCAAATTCCAGTTAGCTAATATAAAATGTAATATTATTTTCAGGTGTACAATACATAATTGTGATTCAACAATTCCATACAACATCCAGCCTCCTCATAAGCAGCACACTGTTGTGATTACTATAGCTTGTTTTCTTTTCAAATTTTTATTTAAATTCTAGCTAGTTAACATAAAGTGCAACATTGGTTTCAGTAATAGAATTCAGTGGTTTATCACGTCTATACAATACTCAGTGCTCATCATACTACGTGTCCTCCTTCATATCGATCACTCATCCGGCCCATTCCCCAACCACCCCCCTCTATCAACCCTATCTGTCAAAGACACAACAGTGGTTCTTGACATTTGTTGAATCAAAGACTTCTCTGAGATTAGTCACCTCAAATAAAATATGCCATGCACTCTTCAGAAGTCCATTCATGGACCCTGAGTAGGATCCCAGAGGAGGACCATCTGAATGGCAGGGTCAGAGAGGAGTAATGCTTTTCATAATTTCTGTTTCCCTCAACTGTGTTGTGCAGGGTGGTCTCTGTGCTCTTCACATTTGTACTGAAGGTAATGGAAAGTGGGCCTACAAAGGATGAAGATACCAGAGAAACAATCCAA